TCTAGCAATCATTGTGGACTTCAAGCATCTTGGTAAAATGGTGGTACTCTTTTAAAATGGGGTTTGTGTAGTGTCCTCATAACTGCTCTTATCAGTCACGTTTTCTACTTCATATTGGACATATAATAGGATCTCAGAAATAAAATTACCTTGGCAGTATTGACAGTCTTCCAAGTGATGAATAACCATCAATGGCTTGTTACTAAAAAAAAAGGCAGTGTGGAAATGTCAGGAGATTAACATCAAGACAAAACATACAGTGGAATTAGACAAAGTTTTGTTATTTATTTATTTAGTTTTTAAGATGGTCATAGATTTATTTGTTTTGTTTTTTTTTTCTTTTTTTGTGGTGCTGGGGATTGGACCCAGGGCCTTGTGCTTACAAGGCAAGCACTCTACCAACTGAGCTTATCCCCTGCCCAGTTTTGTTATATTTGGTAAGATTTATAATCTTAGATTCACACAGCATAGCAATGTAGTCTATAGCAGTGTGGCCCCAGAACTGATAGCATGAAGGTCATCAAGTAGCATATTAGGAATGTAAATTTATAGGCTAGCTCTGAGCTAGCCTAGACCGTCCTAGACCTGCTCAATTAAAAATGCTAGCTATGAGGTCCACGAATCTGCAGCTTAACAAACATAGTGGTTGAGTCTTATGTACATGATAGTGCAGTTAGATAAATAAAAATTAATTCTATCTCCAAAGATGAAAAGATATTATGAACAAAATATTCATTGCCAATGAATACTTGGTATATGATTTCAGGACCGTCAAATGTTTATTTTTACAAAAAAAATCTAGTAATATTTGACAATTTCCACATTCTTTCTTATACCAATTTACAGTTTGTAAACAACCTAATTGAAGATTTCATATGAATACATTTTTCAGGGTTATTTTGATTTTAACTCTGAAAAAAAGTTTTAATGGCAGTACTTGAGTTAGCATTTACTAATTTACTTCCTTGCTCCTTGCTTTAAAAGAATAATGAGAATATTAACTATAGTAAGGTGTAACAACTATGATTTTGATATGTTATGGTTTGGATGGGGTTTGTTCCCCCAAAGGTTTTGTACCGAATGATTGGTGCCCAGTGTGGTGGAGTGGGGCCTAGTTATAAGGTAATGAGGTCATGGGGCGCCATACTAACGAATGTATTAGTGCTGTCTCATTGAAGTGGGTCTAGTCTCCTGGGATTGGATTAGTTCCCAAAAGAATGCATTGTTCTCAGTGAGCCTGGAACTTCCATTGTCTCTTCTTTCTACATGTACTCATGCTGTGTGATGCCATCTGCCATGAGTCCCTCACCAAATTCAAGCAGATGCAGGTGCCATACTTTTGAAAACTGTGAACTAAATAAACCTCTTTTTATAAATTACCTAGCTTCAGGTATTTTGTTATAGAAATACAAACAGACTGAGGTATATAGGATGAATTTTAAAATGCACCTTTAATCCTGAGAATATTGTGAATATCAAAGGAGATGGATTCTGATATATTCAGCATAAGTCTTTAAAAA